GGGCCCCCCCGCCCCGGGGTTCAGCGCGCCCGGCCCCGCCGCCGGCCCCAGGATACCCAGGCAGGGCTGGCCGGGGCACGGAGTCACTGTGCGATGGAGAGTAACGGGGGGGAGGAGGATGAAACGTACCTCTGGCTCTGCTGGGGGTGAACAGGGAATGCACAACCCGGGATTTGTCGTGAAATCATCCCGCCAAGGCGGAGAGGGGAGCGGGGCTCAAAGGCGCCTCGAAGGAGGCTGACAAAAAGCAGCAAAGGGGGTGCCCGGAGCAGCGGGGCTGGGAGAAGTTAAGGGGATCCACGGGAAAGGGCTGTGCGATTTCAGCTGTGCAGAGCCCTGGCATCCCGGGACAGGAAGAAGGCAATTTAAGCCTGGAAATTTGTGTTCGCCTGCAAACGCTTCAGCCGCAAGCTTGCAACAGCAGTTAAACTGACCCAGGACCTGAAGCCTCTGCTTCAGAAGCCGTTCAGTTTTTGGGTTACCTTTGAAAAAGGGACGCGAGTTTCTGAATCATCTCGTTATTTTATAAAATACACACCACCACCCCCCGAATTATCAGAAGATGTCAGCAAGGCTTCAGGGGCATTTGTTGCTCAAATCAGTGTTGTGGTTGCAGGCCGAAATCTTGCATCCCGCCTGCTTGCTAAGGATGGCTCTACTTTAAAATGAATCTCCAGTGTGTTAGGTAGTAAAAGACAAGGAAGAAACCAAATTATCCCGTTTAACCTCCTTTATATTTTTTTTTTCCTTACAAACAAACTACTTTGGAGGAGCAGTGTGTTTATTCTGAAACGTTCTTCACAATTAGTCTCTGCTTTGAATGCAAACTCCGGATGCAGAGAAGTCGCTTATCTGCTGAGATATCACCAACAACACAAAACAGCAGGGAAGGAGCAAAAAGTCTCCCAGCTGCCACGGTCAGCTTCCAGATTCTGGGAAGACGTCGCTAAAGGAAATATTCACATACCTGTCTCGGCTTTCCAGACCAACACCTGGATCCTGCCCCAATCCAGTGGCCTTGGAAAAGGAACTGCACCCCACTTTTGCATCTGGCTGCAGTAATGGCAAGTCGAATCTAAAAAAAAAAAAATTGTTTGGTGGGTTTTATTTTTGGGGGTGTGGAGGGGTGTTTGGGTTTGTTGTTTTAAAAGAAATTAATAAATGTGGGTTTGCCCTTTCAAGGCTAAGAAGCTCGGGTGGGTGCCAGCCAGGAGGTATCTCGATTTACACCAGCTGCGACCCTGGCTCGCCGTCCGCAGGGGCGGTGAAGCGCCGGCCCTTTCTTATATTACGATAATTACTTCAGAAAGCCTGACTCACATAAAAAGTATCTATAAAGATTTACTCGCGGTTTTGCCGATGTGGAAATACATTTCTCCATTTTCCGTCTACTCTAAACTTGCTGGTTTTAATCTCCAAAACAGTCATTGGGAAAGAAAACCGGGGGAGGAGAAGCATTTCTATAAAGAGTTTAACCAAAGCACATTGAGTATTTTCCCAACATCACCAAATAAACAACAATCCTCCAGCTCCCTATAAACTATTTAAAGCATGTCATATCATCTCTTCTGCTCTTGCCAATGTACTTTTCTTTCAATTTATAAGCCGATTAGAGCAGGGGCCTGTCTCTGTGTATATTTGTAAAATGTCTGGCACCCTTTCAGTCAGCCGCAGTTCACAAACATTTAAACCTGCATTTAACTTCGTTATTATAGGTAGTAACTTTGATTTTTCCTCACTTTTGTAGAGCTACTGCCTGTGAAAGCGCTTGTTGTAAATGGTCTGAGCACTTGTTGAAGGGTTTCAGCAGAGGAAACCTCTTTGGATGGCAGGGCTGATTAAAAAAAAAAAAAAAAAAAAGGAGAAGAAAAAGCACAAGAGAGAAATTTAAACTGAGATCTCAGGCTGTATAAATTGGCCCAGAAGAAAACGGGGACAAGCTCTTTAGGGGGAACATTTTTAGTTTGCTAGAAAATAAACTTCTGCTCATAAATGATGAAAGTTATTATCGTCAGAGGATGTGCTGTACCAAACAAACCTCCATTAGGCTGGGAAGGATAAAACAGGCTAGACAGCCTTTTTTAAAAAAAAAAATCATCTTGTCTTTGATTCCCAAGATATCAACCATGTCTGTTTCTGTAGTGCTGTCAAGTAAACCTGAGTTATGGATGCTCTAAAAGAAGACAGCAAGGAGAAAATTCAGCAAGTGAAAATCAAGAGCATAGATACTTTACCAAAATATCCTTTCTTTTCAGACTCTTCAGTTCCTGCCCTGTGCCATGGCATGACAATCTCTGAGCAGAAGAGCAAGACCAGTGAATGTGGTAAAGCTGTGGTCATCAGAGCACGCAATCGCATGGCAGATTCTTTTTATTGAGGTTTTTGCTCTTTCTTTACTGCAGCGTCCATCATTTTCACCACAAGAGCCTTAATGTCTGGAATGCAACCTCCTAAAACTGCCAGTGCCTCAAGGTGGGTGCTGCACAGTTTGAACTCCACTGCTGAAACCATTTCCTAGCACGTTTATGTATCACGTCTGAACCTGAACAAGCAGGCAGAGGACAACTGCTTGATTTAATACAGTATCCGTGCATTGCTCTTTAATGTAGGTGACCTTGGAAGTTCTGTAACAAGCAAATACATCTGTCTGGGCTCGGAGGGCTGGCTGGCTGGGAGCTCAGTGACAGCGGGAGGAAAGCGAGCCCACTGAGCGAGCTTCCTCCCTCCATACGTGCAAAAAGCAAGGCATCGATCAAAGCCAACTGCCTGCTCAGGAAGAGCACAGTTGGCAACGCTGTCTTTGCGGGTTTTTTGCCAGCATGAAAGGAACACAAACTGGTATCTCCAAACCTAGCCATAGGTAAATAGAGCGCAGAGCAGGGGGGTGCCAGGCTTTCCTTGGAGAGACAATGTGTACTCATTAGCTGCCTAATTAAGAAACCTACAAAAATAAGGGACAGGGACAAAAAGAAGGCGCTAGTCCCAGAAAGGCTATGATGTGGGCTCTCCCTAGCTGGCAACCCCGGGAAGCCACATGGGGAACAGCGGGGATGAAGTTGAGTTTTAGGCAGCTGCTGATCAACAGTCTTTTTTTTTTTTTTTTTCTTGTTGTAACTTAATTTCCAGTTCTGTGAGCAGTTTGCTACTGTGTACTCTGCTAGAATAAACTGCATTTATTATTTTCCTTAACCTGTCTAATTTGATGTGTGGTCTCAAAAATAC